TACAGTATCATGATGTCCTGATACCAAGACACCATACAGTATAGTGATGTCCTGATACCATGACACCATACAGTATCATGATGTATTGTTACCATGACGCCATACAGTATCATGATGTCCTGATACCATGACACCATGCAGTATCGCGATAACCTAATACCATGACACCATACAGTATCGTGATTTCCTAATACCATGACACCATACAGTATCATGATGTATTGTTACCATGACGCCATTCAGTATCATGATGTCCTGGTACCATGACACCAAACAGTATCATGATGTCCTGTTACAATGACGCCATACAGTATCATGATGTCTTGATACCATGACGCCTCACAGTATCATGATGCCTTGATACCATGACGCCATACAGTATCATGATGTCCGAATACCATGACGCCATGTAATATCGTGATGCCCTAATACCATGACGCCATGTAATATCGTGATGTCCTTATACCATGACGCCATGTAATATCGTGATGTCCTTATACCATGACGCCATGTAATATCGTGATGTCCTTATACCATGACGCCATGTAATATCGTGATGTCCTTATACCATGACGCCATTTAATATCGTGATGTCCTTATACCATGATGCCATATAGTATTATGATGTCCTAATACCATGACGCCATGTAATATCGTGATCTCCTAATACCATGACGCCATGTAATATCGTGATCTAATACCATGACGCCATGTAATATCGTGATGTCTTTATACCATGACGCCATGTAATATCGTGATGTCCTTATAACATGACGCCATGTAATATCGTGATCTCCTAATACCATTACTCCATGTAATATCGTGATTTCCTAATACCATGACTCCATCTAATATCGTGATCTCCTAATACCATGACGCCATGTAATATCGTGATGTCCTTATACCATGATGCCATATAGTATTATGATGTACATATCCCAGTTTCTCAGACACTCGAGGTTTTCTTTGACTTCAAAATGATTGCAGTATCAGAAGCGACCTCCATGGTAGATCCCCTGGCAGAGGAGCGGAGATGTGGGACACTGCTTATAACTATATATCACGGTCAGTAACAAGAGTATTCCCAGGTTGTTTCATCTAAGTTTGCTATGAGTGGCGTGGAGTTGCCATAGTTTATTAAATACACAGCCCCATTTACTAATTTTGATATCCTGTGTATCCTGCCTTCCATCAGTTAACGAATCGATGAACGAAACACATCTGTCATTAAACTGACACAAAAAACAGCTTTGATGTTTGTATATAATACATTTTAAATGATTACCCGCGTCACCCGCCGTACGCTGTGTGTTGATAACGCCGCTTGTTCGGAAATCCACTTACGGGGCAGACTCCCAACAGAGAGGGGTATATAAAATTTGTCATACATCTATCGGGTCTCATTAAGCTCCGGGACAATGCTGGGTTTAGAACTTTATCGATGTGATAAGATTAAATTCTAGTAAGGGGATACCCAGGAGGTCATTACACATCAGGCTTTGAGACTGATATGATTTTCCATTTTTCTACGACATTAAGGATGTCCAAACAATCCTTTATTACTCGGCTGGCGGAGACGGCATCCCGTGGGGAACACGTTACCTGGCTTTCGTGGGGGCTTGCGTGGGGGCTTGCGATGCCTGATATTTGATAAGTGAAGAGGAAATAGTTTATGAGATATAGAGGTAATCCGATTGTGTTGAAAACATGATCTGAGAGCATTTCTTCCTTGAGTTTGGCATATCCAGTTGTTAGAAGCGATTAGCATTTGTACATTTTATAAGTGAGTGAGTGACTTGGGTTTAACGCCGCTTTTAACAGTATTTTAACAGAAAGCTTGAAGTGATCTTAGATGTTTACCATTTCGTTGAAATCCACGAGCACGAAACATAATGGCTGCGAACCAGGATTCGAACCCATATTTACAACTTATGACGGGGAGAGACTAAAACAGGTCCCAAAGACACACGGTTTAACGCCGCTTTTAACAGTATTTTAACAGAAAGCTTGAAGTGATCTTAGATGTTTACCATTTCGTTGACACCCACGAGCACGAAACATAATGGTTGCGAACCAGGATTCGAACCCATATTTACAACTTATGACGGGGAGAGACTAAAACAGATCCCAAAGACACACGGTTTAACGCCGCTTTTAACAGTATTTTAACAGAAGGCTTGAAGTGATCTTAGATGTTTACCATTTCGTTGAAACCCACGAGCACGAAACATAATGGTTGCGAACCAGGATTCGAACCCATATTTACAACTTATGACGGGGAGAGACTAAAACAGATCCCAAAGACACACAAACCCCCCACAGTTACTCCCCAGGGTATAACTTGCTGCTGCATGAAGGTGTCGAGCATCACCCCCTGTTGGGTTTATTCTCCAATGTATAACTTGCTGCTGCATGAAGGTGTCGAGCATCACCCCCTGTTGGGTTTATTCTCCAATGTATAACTTGCTGCTGCATGAAGGTGTCGAGCATCACCCCCTGTTGGATTAATTCTCCAATGTACAACTTGCTGTTGCATGAAGGTGTCGAGCATCACCCCCTGTTGGGTTTATTCTCCAGTGTATAACTTGCTGCTGCCTGACAGTGTCGAGCATCACCCCCTGTTGGGTTTATTCTCCAGTGTATAACTTGCTGCTGCATGAAGGTGTCGAGCATCACCCCATGTTGGGTTTATTCTCCAGTGTATAACTTGCTGCTGCCTGACAGTGTCGAGAATCACCCCCTGTTGGGTTTATTCTCCAATGTATAACTTGCTGCTGCATGAAGGTGTCGAGCATCATGACCTGTTGGGTTTATTCTTCAATGTATAACTTGCTGCTGCCTGAAGGTGTCGAGCATCATCCCCTGTTGGGTTTATTCTCCAATGTATAACTTGCTGCTGCCTGAAGGTGTCGAGCATCATCCCCTGTTGGGTTTATTCTCCAATGTATAACTTGCTGCTGCATGAAGGTGTCGAGCATCATGACCTGTTGGGTTTATTCTCCAATGTATAACTTGCTGCTGCCTGAAGGTGTCGAGCATCATCCCCTGTTGGGTTTATTCTCCAATGTATAACTTGCTGCTGCCTGAAGGTGTCGAGCATCATCCCCTGTTGGGTTTATTCTCCAGTGTATAACTTGCTGCTGCCTGAAGGTGTCGAGCATCACCCCCTGTTGGGTTTATTCCCAAGGGTATAACTTGCTGCTGCCTGAAGGTGTCGAGCATCACCCCCTGTTGGGTTTATTCCACAGCGTATAACTTGCTGCTGCCTGAAGATGTTGAGCATCACCCCGTGTTGCGTTTATTCTCCAATGACTGATACACAACGGTGATATGTCATCGCACTTGATTTATCCGGAACTGTATATGATGTACCGTGTCTGAAGTTCGGAATAACAAGGGACAATGTTAGACAACTTGAATATTAAGTTACCATTGGCTGTCATAGTTGGAGAATGTCAGATGGTAGATACCACCCGGCGCATTTCACGAAGTAATTACGTTGGAAACCGGACCGGCGAGGTTCAGTAATGCTTATTTTAACACAATCCTGACTGTGTCTGTAATTAGTGATCGACTGTAGAATGTGGAACATGGTATGCCGAGGCTGAATGGTGGGGACTATTTGTTGAGGATAGCAGTTAATTTGACATCTTCGATAACTCTCGCTAATAAACCGATTTCCTGATTGCAAGGTGAATGAGTAGGAGAGGTAGGTTTTACGCCGCTTTCAGCAATATTCCAGCAATATCACGCCGGAGAAAGTCAGAAATGGGCTTCGCACATTGGACTGTGAGGAATAGAACCCGGGTCTTCTGTGTGACGAACGAACGCTATACCCAATGATTGTTCCAGTTTTTACAACACTTTGATATTTGTGTTCTTAAAATAATAAATTACAGAGATAAGTACCAACAAATAGGTACTCATACTGACTTTCCCAGAAGATGTGTATGCGTAGATGCATATGCTAAATGTACCTTCTACTTGACTTGTCGCCTAATATGCCGCAATTTGCTGTGCGGAGTTGCGTCCCTTGCATACGCCAGAAACCTATGATCGGTGTGTGTGTGTGGGAGGGGGTGGGGGTGCGGGGGGGACTATTAACATAAATCTGTTTTCCTGTCGGCAAGAATACCTATTAACTATATGTTTCCAGGCATTGAAACTATGCATGATGCTTAGTATAGATTGCCATAAGGGCGAATTATTTCTATGCTTCCCCCAGACAAATGCGATCTGAAAATTGAGTTATGACGAATGTGAGGGACTTGCCCTTCGGCACTCCCTGTCCTCTTAGGATGGGCAGAATCACCGACACATTTACGGTCGAACAGGCAGTAATTACCACCGTGAGATATATTTCTGATAAAACTGTATGTGAAGAATGAATTTGTGGTGAATTAACGATCGAACTGAGCTATTTTGTACAGGAGAAGTTTAACCCTATTTTTGTGTGGCAGGATTCTAGTCTACATGTTGAGTAGGCATAAAAACATTACTCCTGAATCTATACATCGGCTGGTGGTTAATTGGAGAAAACAAACACAACCAGTTAATTACGTGAGATCTGAGCACATCCTTATTCGCCTATTATTGACTTAACCACATGGACCGGTTCCACTGCCATGACACGCTTGCTCGTTTCTCACACGCTTACGGTTGCAAATGGGAGGGGGAACTGGCCTCAGCATGTTGCTGATGACACACTATACTGGACAACTTTTACAATTGGATCCAGTTGCTTTAAATATGAGGGTTTATTTTGACCTTTTGTCTTTTTGATTACGTGTTTCGAAGCCAGGGTCCTGTATATAGTGTGGTATGGAGTTTGTGGGCTTTCCCCTTGCCTCAGAACTGATCACTTTGGTCTCATTACGAGAACTGCTCTATACATACAAGACGTCAACGCCAGTACCGATTATTCGACGCAACAAATTCCATTGGACGTAAGAGGCAAAACAGCCGTTAACATTTTAGGAAAGTCAGTGATGAGGCCAGGTTCACGAAAAGGAGAAGCATGCGTGCTCAACCTCCACCCGTGATCGGGGTGTGTCGTACATTTGACCAACCTCCACCCCTGATCGGGGTGTGTCGTACATTTGACCAACCTCCACCCGTGATCGGGATGTGTCGTACATTTGACCAACCTCCACCCGTGATCGGGATGTGTCGTACATTTGACCAACCTCCACCCGTGATCGGGATGTGTCGTACATTTGACCAACCTCCACCCGTGATCGGGGTGTGTTGTACATTTGACCAACCTCCACCCCTGATCGGGATGTGTCGTACATTTGACCAACCTCCACCCGTGATCGGGATGTGTCGTACATTTGACCAACCTCCACCCGTGATCGGGATGTGTCGTACATTTGACCAACCTCCACCCCTGATCGGGATGTGTCGTACATTTGACCAACCTCCACCCGTGATCGGGGTGTGTTGTACATTTGACCAACCTCCACCCGTGATCGGGATGTGTCGTACATTTGACCAACCTCCACCCGTGATCGGGATGTGTCGTACATTTGACCAACCTCCACCCGTGATCGGGGTGTGTTGTACATTTGACCAACCTCCACCCGTGATCGGGATGTGTCGTACATTTGACCAACCTCCACCCGTGATCGGGATGTGTCGTACATTTGACCAACCTCCACCCGTGATCGGGGTGTATTGTACATTTGATTAATTGGCCATAAACTACATCTTCAGTTGGAGTTCATAAGAAAAGTTCTTCTGCCAACTTATAGATTATTTCTTCGGCTGAAAACCGGAAAAATCGATATAAATTACATGAATACTGAGAACCATGACATTCTATTCCTCTATTGAAGAAGAAATGTTGGGTGTCGCTTTCGGCTTTCTGTGACAGGAGTGTTTTCCAAGCTTGTAGTCAGCTCAGTGTCCTCTGTAGTGTCTGCGGATGCTCGACTCTGTTGCCGGTAACGAACGAGATAAAATGGCAAAATGCGTTTTATATAACCACTTTTTATTCTGTTTAATGATTCAGAGGCACTTCACCAGCAATTTCCTCAGCGTATGACGACGTCTCTGCGATACTCTCGTACTTTAGATGGAACGTGAAAAATATGAAATACCTCTTTATCGGCTAAAGACCAGGAAATGTTCGGAATTTGACAACTTGTGGCTCCACGTGAAAGATTGATGACGTGATAATAAGAATCAGCTTGCGTCACAAGCAAACAGCCTGTGGAATGTTCACTGTTTAGAACATGACCACTATGAGTGACACTTACGTCGGAACTATTGCCTTTGTTCAGGGCGAGGCAGGAGGAGAAGCATGAGCTGCAATGGAGATATTGACAGACACAACAGAGCTGCAGGAGTACGTGCACATGCACGCTGGCAACTGAACGAGGTGGTCACATGTTAGCTGTAAATACAAGCATAAACGTCAACGCCAGAGATTATTCCCTAAACAGATCCCATTAAGCCCCCAAAAGCGGTGAAAACTATAGGAATCAAGGGAAATTGGTGAGGTGTTCTCGAAAAGGGTAAGCATGTCCTGTCCTACCGGTAGCACATGCAACTCCCTCAATTTGCATCAAAACGCTGGTGTTATTTATCCACTATAGCTTGTGAAACTGGAAATGAAATGAAAAATGTTAGGGTGGCTGACTTGTGCTGTCGAATAATGCGTAGTTTGACGCAAACATTTATCAAAAAGTCAATTCAGGTTCCGCTATTAACTGTGAGGGACAGACCACATACTATCAGGTGGGGAGCTTTGGGAAATTTTGTTCAGTCACTGCTTAAAGAAATTCATGTTTTTGATTAACCTCAATTTCACAAAAGACTTTGTTCAGGGTGTCAAGCATGTCCCTAAAATAGTTATAATTTGGCTGCAAACCCTGAGGCAAAATATATAATAAATATTCTTTAATTGGAAAAATCTCAAAATATGCGTTTTTTGTGTTATTGAATGCTACCAGGTGATGGTATCGCGTTTGGGACACAGCAATCAACAGGCGTTCACGAGTACAAGTTTCTCGCCAGTGACAAAGGATTCACTTGTCCTTGTCTGTCCTCACTGGCACTGGGACTTCGAGAAAGAAGAGAGTGCAATTTAAAATCTCAAAAGATATTGTAACAGACAAAAACAAAGAGAATCGTTTAAACAAACTTATTGCCGTGGATAGAATTATATCACGTGGAGAGAACTATGTCTGAATGTTCGGGTCGGAGCAACAGCTCATGTTGAGAGCATCCCTACCATATGCAATGAGTCATTGCTCACGAGGGGGCCTCAGAGACAAGCTCACAAATGTTGATGATGGAGTGTCCTCTGCTCTCGGGGATGGTATGAGCAGTGAGAGCTGCTGTCTGGAACCTGTGTCGAAGCTGCGTGGTTCCAATCCATGTCGAGGCGAGGGCTTGTCACGGAAGGCTGTCACAACGGGGCTGTCTCGGACAGGGTTGTTCTGTTGGTAACCTTGCCATGTGGTGGTCTTGATGACGTTGCATTGACGTGCGACGTGCGACGTGACGCTGCGAAGTACCAGAATTAGGCATTCCTGTGGCGTGTCATCAATGGTTTGGCATGCTGGAGTTGTCTTTACACAAAATTTCCTTTTTAGTATTTTGTAAACACACAAATGCGTACCTACAAGTGCCAGAACATATACTGCAATTAGTTTATACCAAAGTGCAACTCATTCTGTTGTTAGGTGAGTGATTTTAATGTTGTTTTCAATTAGAATATAATTAAAACTTAATAGTACATCCAAAACAAACGTTTATTAATAGTTTGACAGCCGCAAGGCGGTTGTGACATAAAATACGCTCTCTCCAGAAAAACTGAATGCAAAGTCCAAAAAAGACCTGAAAAAAAGCCAATTTCGCGACAGAAACCATGAAAACTGATATTTTTGTATATTCAGTGGTTTGTCAATAGCTTCACCGTCACTAATTATTGTGGCACGGAGGTATGGCTTCACCGGCGATCATCCTTACTCTTCGCGATTTGTTCTTCTAAATGCAACATTTCCTTAATCCTCATTTAGGTCTTTTCAAATTTACAAAGCCAAATAAATCACATGGGCCGTTCGTCTTTTCAAAATGAGTATTTCATTGTTATATTGTACTTGAAAGATGGAACAGGATTGACAACACAATGTTGATGCCTTCGTAATAAACAGAATTAATGCAAGGGAAAATGGAATCCCAATGGCCCTATGGGAGGGAAATATATACCTGTACTGAGAGGTAACTATTTGAGATTCATCCCACGTGTTTCAATGAGTAGTGTTAGTGATGGCCTATGTAGTCTCTGTTCCGCATCGACAATACTAGGGACCATACGGCTTATTCCGACATAATATTAGACTGAGATTGTCACGGTCCTTTTTTTACCTATCTACCACTTATGTGTAACGATGTTACATATAAGTAATGATAACAGGTGAGCATATACATGAGGAGGGCCGAACAAGGACAACAGATGACAAAAAAACAGAAAGAGGACGGAGTAAAGACCACAAATGATAATATACATCAAGAGGGCGGAGTAAAGACAGCACATGAGAATATACATCAAGAGGGCGGAGTAAAGACAGCACATGAGAATATACATCAAAAGGGCGGAGTAAAGACAACACATGAGAATATACATCAAGAGGGCGGAGTAAAGACCACAAATGAGAATATACATCAAGAGGGCGGAGTAAAGACAGCACATGAGAATATACATCAAGAGGGCGGAGTAAAGACAGCACATGAGAATATACATCAAGAGGGCGGAGTAAAGACAAAACATGAGAATATACATCAAGAGGGCGGAGTAAAGACAGCACATGAGAATATACATCAAGAGGGCGGAGTAAAGACCACAAATGATAATATACATCAAGAGGGCGGAGTAAAGACCACAAATGAGAATATACATCAAGAGGGCGGAGTAAAGACAACACAAGAGAATATACATCAAGAGGGCGGAGTAAAGACCACAAATGAGAATATACATCAAGAGGGCGGAGTAAAGACCACAAATGAGAATATACATCAAGAGGGCGGAGTAAAGACAACACATGAGAATATACATCAAGAGGGCGGAGTAAAGACCACAAATGAGAATATACATCAAGAGGGCGGAGTAAAGACCACAAATGAGAATATACATCAAGAGGGCGGAGTAAAGACCACAAATGAGAATATACATCAAGAGGGCGGAGTAAAGACAACACATGAGAATATACATCAAGAGGGCCTAGTAAAGACAACAGATGAGAATATACATCAAGAGGGCCGAGTAAAGACAACGGTTGAGAATATACATCAAGAGGACCGAGTAAAGACAACAGATGAGAATATACATCAAGAGGACCGAGTAAAGACAACAGATGAGAATATACATCAAGAGGGCCGACTAAAGACAACGGTTGAGAATATACATCAAGAGGGCGGAGTAAAGACAACAAATGAGAATATATATCAACAGGGCCGAGTAAAAGACAATAGATGAGAATATACATCAAGACGGTCGAGTAAAGACGACGGATGAGAATATCCTTTGTAACGTGTGTGACCACCTGTTGCATCAATGCAAACCACAATACGCCTCCTCGAGGATGTCGTCAATCGCCGGATGACGTCAGCAGGAATTCTGCGCCAATAATCTAATAAAACCTGTTCAAGCTGCTGTATGTTTGCTGGGGGAGGTACGCGTTGTCTCAGCTGTCGATCACGATGATCCAAGAGATGCTCTGTGGGATCCATGTCTGAAAAACATGCTGGCCAAGGCAATATGTTGACGATAACGTTGTGCAGATATTGCTAACAAGTCTGGCGGTATGAGGTCGTGCATTATCCTACTGCAAAAGGCTACCCCTTGGCTGTCCACTTCAGAATATCACTACAACAGGTCGACACACTTCATTTCTGTATCTTTGGCCAGTCAGATTCCTACGGATGATGACACGCCTTGCTGTCCGCTGACTGCAAATACCGCCCCACACCACGCCGCCGCCGCCGCCGCCGCCACCACAAGGGTGCACATCTTGGATGCAGTAAGGTCCAGTCGCTCTCCCCTACGTCGATAAACTCAGACTCGTCCATCATTTCGGAACAAGTTAAAGCGTCTTTCATCGGTGAACAGCACCCTTTCCCAATCACGCCGCTGCCACCGACGGACAGTTCGTGCCCATTGTAATCTGCCTTGACGGTGTAGAGGCGTCAAGCCCATTCCACGGAAGGGGCGGTAGGCCCTAATACCACCAATGTCGTCGTAAGACTGTTCGCCTGCTGATGGCCGCCGTTGACGTCACCGTCACATATCGGACAGGTGGATTGTCCGGATGCAGTGGTCTTCAAGTGGCTTTGTGACCCTTGGTCTTCCCAATCTTGGACGGTCTTGTGTCGGGTCTGTTTGCTGATAACGTCTCAACAAGTTGCTGATACTGGTTTGACTGCAGGTTTTTGCAATGTGCCGCTGAGAGGCCCCCGTATCGGCCATACCAATAGCTCTCAGACTGTCACGTTCTTCTTGTGTGAGTCTCGGCATTTCTCAGATGTTCTTTTTTATGCTGTATCCTTGCGCTGCCCCACATCGGTATTAATGTAATAATTATGCACGAGCATTTTTAACAGTTCCCCAAAATCATGTTTTTCCTATTTTTTCCATCTG